AGGCGAGAACTACGCTTTCGTCCGCGGGCGCGTCGACGAAAGGCTGCGAGGAGTGCGCGCCGCGCCCGAGCGGGCGCTCACATTCTCTGAGGAAAGTCGTCTGGGCCAGCGGCGCAGCGCCGACGCCCGCTGGCGCGGCAGGCCGCGGCGCGGCGCCGGCGCGGGCGCGCCCCGGCCGCGCCCCGGGAGAGTGGTAGATTTTGAGTGGAGCGTAGTCGAATGAGAGCATGGGTGAATCGAGCCGCCCACGCCTTCGCCAGGTGTCCGTCGGGGTGCCAGGATGCGGGGCGCTCTCCGGCAGTTTTCGTCCCCGACCCATTAGACGCGGGGTGCTCTCTGGCAGTTTTGGTGCCCGATCTAATCTATGCCCGACGGCCTCAGTGCGCCTGTGCTGGGCAGCTCTGGCATGCCGGCTTCGCGCAGGACGCAAGAGAGGAGGACAGGGCCAGGAGTAAAAGGACGATCAAGCTAGCCAGTTCGAGCGAGTCAAGCATGGCATGCGCATTCCCACCGCGATTCCCACCCGCCCTCCCACAACATAAGAAACATTGATGGCGCAATTGGTAACCGAAATCAATCGTCAAGGTGGTGTGCCACGGCTGATGCAGCCGCCATGGTGGTTACCGATGGGGAAATCCTCGCCCGTCTCAATGGCTTCGCTGGCACTTCAGCACGAGCCGAGGATGCCCCAGGAGGCCCCAGGAAGCTTCAGGAAGCCCCAGGAGGCTTCAGGAGGCTTCAGGAGGTGGTGGGAAGCTCCAGGGGGCCCCAGGAGGCTTCAGGAGGCTGTAATTCGCATTGCCGACGACAAGACAGGCCATGTTGAAAGGAAAAGCGGAGACTTTGTATTGAGTTTCGACAGTCAGGATGGGGGGGCCCAGATTGACGTCCGCGCGCGATGCGCGCCGCGTCCCTTTCCTGCCGCGGAATTCGCATCGTCGACGACAAGACAAGCCATGTTGGGAGGAGCAACGGGCATTTGGCATTGATGTCACACAGTCTGGATGGGAGAGCCCGGATGCAAGCGCCATCGGCCAGACAGAGGGGAGAGTAGGAGTATATGCGAATAAGGAGTAAGAAAGAGTAAGAATGAGGAGGATGTGGAACGATATTGCCATGCATCTTCCCGTTCCATGTCCCCATCTGTATGCGTAAGTCCTTGCAGATTTTCATTGTTCACAAGTGGACGCGCACATTTGAAAGGCAGGCGCCCCGCGGGCGTCGCGTTGACGATTCGTGGCAGACCCGGCGCGCCCAGCACAACGCCCGGCGTGCCGAACGCACCCGGCGCCGAGCGAACCCGACGCACGTGGCGCACCTTCCGCGCCGAGCGCGCCCGGCGCCGAGTGCACCTGGCGCACCCGGTACACCCGGGGCCGAAAGCATCCGGGACACCCGGCGCACCCAGCACCGAGCGCGCCCGGCGCCGAGTGCACCCGGCGCACCCGGCGCACCCGGCGGCCCAGCACCCGGCGCCGAGTGCGCCCGGGACACCCGGCGCACCCGGCGCCGAGCGCGCCCGGCACACCCGGCACACCCGGCGGCCGGGCACCCGGCGCCGAGTGCACCCGGGACACCCGGCGCACCCTGCGCCGAGCGCGCCCGGCACGCACAGCGCACCCGGCGCACCCGGCATCCCGCACAAGCAGCTGTTATGCGAGGGGCAGAGAAAAGGAGGGAAGGGGGCGTCAAGCCCCCCCCCCGTTGAAAGAGGGGTGGGGCAGCTTCCGGAGCGTGAAAGGGGGGGGGGGTAGCTTTCGAGGGGCGGGGAAAAAGAAGGGGGGGGCTTCCAGCAGGGGAGGTCCAAGGGGGGGGTGCCAAAGGGGAGAGCGCGCGCTCGTGGCACACTTTTCATTAAAAGGGGGGCCCCAGCTTCAAGCTACCACCCCTCCCCTCCCTTGGAAAAAGGAGGAGGGGGCTTCCGAAGCCCCCCCCCCTCCCCCCCTTCTGTTGCGGGCATTTTCTGGTTGGGGGTGCCCTAGCTAGGGGTGGGGGGGTTTGGAAGCTCCCCTCCCCGCCCGTTTCGGGCCCCCCGCCTTTTCTAAGTGGGGGGGGGGGGGGCTTCCGAAGCTACCCCCCTTTCCTTTTGCGTAGTTTTTGTAGCTGGGTGGTTCTTGGCTAAAGGGGGTGGCGGCTTGGAAGCTCCCCGCCTTCCTTTTTGGGGTCCGGGGCAAGCCTGGGCTTTCCCTTCCAAAGGGGGGGCTTCCGAAGCTACCCCCCCCCACTCCTTCTGTTGGTTTTTCCAGCTGGAGGGCCCTGGCTGAAGGGGGGCTACTTCTCTTCTTGAGTTCTCGGCGCTCCGTTGGTTTTCGGCGTACTTGTGGTTTTCGACGCCTCTTTGGTTTTCGGCGCCTCTTTGGTTTTCGGCGTCACTTGGGCCTCTGGCGTCTCTTCGGTTTTTGGCTCTCCTGTGTTTTTTGGCGTTGTTTTGGTTTTCGACGCCCCTGTTGGTTTTCTGCGCGCCCTTTGGTTTTCGGCGCAGCGTTGGTTTCTGGCGAGCTCTTGTGTTCTGGCGCCCCTTTGGTTTTCGGCGCCCTCTTGGTTTTCGGCGGCTCTTGAGTTACCGGCAACCTTGAATTCTTGGCTCCTTTCCGGCTTTCGCCGCTCTTTGGTTTTCGGCGCCCCTTGAGCTTTGGGCGCCCTTCGGCTTTGTTCGCCTTGGTTTTTGGCGCACTTTGGATTTGGACGCCCTTTTGGTCATCGCCGCGTCTTTGGTTTTTCGGCGCTCTTTCGGTTTTCGGCGCATCTTTGGTTTTCGGTGCCCCTTTGGTTTTCCGCGCTGGTTTTCGGTGCTCTTGCGGTTTTCGGCGTGTTTTTTTTCGCGCGTTTTCGGAGCTTCTGTTGTTTTCGGCGCCCCTTTCGTTTTCGGCGCCCTTTTGGTTATCGGCGCTCCTTTTGTATTTCGGCGCCCTCTCTGTTTTCGCCGCATCGTTGGTTTTCGGTGCCTCTGTGGTTTTCGGCGCTCCTTTAGGTTTTCGGCACCCCATCGGTGTTCGGCGCCCCTTTGATTTTCGGCTCCCTCTTGGTTTTCGGCGCCCGAATGTTTCTTTGTGTACTTTTAGTTTTCGGCGCCATTTCGGTTTTCGGGCGCGTCTTTAGTTATCGGCGCCCCTTTTTGTATTCGGCGCCGGGTTTTCGTCATATTTTTGGTTTTCATCGCCCCCTTGTTTTTTGGCGCCCCTTTGGTTTTCGTCCCTTCGGTTTTCGGTGCTCCTTTGGTTCTCGGCGCTCTTGTGGTGTTCGGCGCTCCTTTGGTTATCGGCGTTCTTTGGTTTTCGGCGCCGTTCTGATTTTCGGTGCCCTTGTGGTTTTCGGTGCCCCTTTGGTGTTTAGCGACCCTTTTTTTTGTCCAAGGCGTACCTTTTCCTGCACTTCAACTTCGGCACCGCCTGATCCCAGGGCTTCGCCTTCTCCCGGCCTTGACGTGAGGCCCCGCCTTCTTTTGCCCTCCCTCTGCTAATTAAAATTGTGCGCGGCCCGCTTAGCCTCTATCGGAAGAGGCTCGCTCTCGACCCGCAGATCAAACAAAAAAAGAAATTTGGCGATCCTTTGGTTTTTGGCGCCGTTGTTGGTTTCGGCGCTCCTTTGGTTTTCGGCGCCATTTTGGTTTTCGGCGCTGCTGTGGTTCTCTGCGCCCCTTTTTGTTTTCCGCGACTCTTTGGTTTTCGGCGCCCCGCTGGTTTTCGGAACATTTTTTGGGTTCTTGGCGTTCGGTAAAGTTTTCGGCGCCTTTTGGTATTCGGCGGTCCTTCGGCGCTCTTTTGGTGGTTTTCGGTGCTCCTTTGGTTTTCGGCTCCCTTTTGGTTGTCGGCGCTCTTTTGGTTCTCGGCGCCCTTTTGGTTTTCTGCGCTGCCTTTGGGTTTTCGGCGCTCCTTTGGTTTTCGGCGCCCTTTCGGTTTTCGGCGCCTTTTCGTTTTTTTGAGCGCCTCTGGTTTTCGCATCCTTTTGGTTTTCGGTGGCTCCTAAGTTTTCGGCGCTCTGTTGGTTTTCGGCGCCTTTCTGGTCTTCGGCGCTCCTTCCTTTAACCAAAGGGGGGGGGGCTTCCAAGTTCACCCCCTTTAGCTCAAAAGGAGGGGGGTCTTCCGGCAGGATTCAAAGGCGGGTCGCTAGGCCCTTCCCCCAACGTGTGGGTAGCTTCCGGAGCGCGAAAGGGGGGGGGGGGGAGGGGGAGTAGCTTCCCAGGGGCAGAACAATAGGAGGGGGGGGGGCTTCCGGAAAGGGGGGTTCAAAGGTGGGGGGTTTGGTCGCTAAGCCCTCCCCAACTTTGGACAGGGAGGGAGGGGGGAGCTTCTGGAACGCGACAAGGAGGGGGGGGTAGCTTCCGGAGCGCGAAAGGGAGGGGGGGGTAGCTTCCGAGGGGCGGAACAAATAGATGGGTGCGGGGGATTCTGGCAGGGGAGGTCCAAGGGGGTGGGGGTAGCTAGGGGGGACGTTCTCCCTTTTTTTGGGAGTGTACCACGGGCGCGCTCGCTCTCAAGGGGGGACCCCCTTTGGGAGTGCACCACGGGCGCGCTCTCTCATACAAATTTTTGGTTGATTCGGCGAAGAACACTTTGGGGGTAAACCAGTGCTGTGGTCGATCTCCTACTCGCAAGGCGGTGCCCCATGGGATGGGGCGCCGAGGACGCGAAGGCCCAGGCTTCCAACGTACTTGTAATCTCAAGCTGGGGGCTCTTCGCCGCTTTCGGTCCCCGGGGGCCGTCGCTGGGCCCCGGGACCGACAAGAATCGACTCAGGATGAACGTCGCTCGTCGTCGGTCGCTAGTCGTCGTCGCTGGTCGTTGGTCGTCGTTGGTCGCTGGTCGCTGGTCGCTGGTCGCTGGTCGCTCGTCGTCGGTCGCTGGTCGCTCGTCGCTCGTCGCTCGTCGCTCGTCGTCGTCGTCGTCGTCGTCGTCGTCGTCGTCGTCGCTCCTCGATGTTGTCGCTCCTCGATGTCGTCCTGGTCCTATGGCCCACCTGGCGAGCCTGGTCCTCGCGGGGCGCCCTGCCCACGCAGAGAG